ACTCGATTCAGCATCGCAAACATCTTCCGGCGATCTAAAGTGACCTACCACTCCAACCCCCTAGGAATTAAGTCGCCAGTTTCAATTATAACAATCCATGTATTACTTTGTGGTTTGGTCTTTCCGATATTCACTATGCAATTGTATACCGTTTTTCAGTTTGTTTTGGGGTCTTTTGAATGTGAATGTTTTTGAGCACCGGTTGATTCAAAATCTTTACAACACCCTCTGTTCAATTTATGCATCTTTTTTGTAACTGTCAGATTTACAAAAGCCCGTGAACAGCTCTTCATTTGTTTTAAGCTTTCCAATTAACTTTCATCGTGGTCCGTTTCCGGTAGTCTTGTGCGACCAACCACAACGAAGATTATTTCAATTTGCGCGATTGGTTCTGATGAAGTAGGGAGTTTCGTCTTTTTTACCAAGTGTGTTTTGCACCTCATTATTGCCTGCTAACCCCGTGATTTATCGATATAAGGCACGTTGATTGTCAATTTTGCAAAACCACAAAATTCTTGGAACATGTTCTCCTATTTCTCCTCCGCTGCATTTATCAGTAACCAGCAGATGCACCTATTTGTGTTATTGTATCCCGCACAATTTAATTGTCAGTATATCTCTATATGATCCAAATCATTGAAATTTTTGGTTGACTTTCTCCCACTTAGAGATGGGTTTGCCGCATGGGTAGTAAATTCATGCAGTTTGTAGCTACCAAATGGTATTCTTCGCACCCCGTAGCTTTCTTTGTGGGTACGCCTCCAACCAGCCAAATGGTACTTGTAGAAGCTCAGAGTAACAACGGCGGTCTTGTTTGATTACTGGCAAGATTTGTGCATCAACGATGCGTTTTTACAAATATTTGCACCTTTTTATTAAACATAAATTGTTTGACAGGCGATTACCCATTACGTCCTCACCGGCTAATCAATGAAACGACACACCACCCTATTTACCGTCAAGGATGTAAGTAATCGATTCTCCACTCAAAACTTAGATATGCGTCCGTGGAGAGCTCTGCTCACTGAAGACTTGTGATAGTCTCTTACCTCTTAGATACTTCACCGTCTTCTTCCTTTCATTTAAAATCGGCTACCAGTGCCGTCATATATAGGTCACATTTGATTTCTCCGATGGGATTAGCGTGGCGAACGGTCAGAGACACCGAGTGACGTGATTGTTTGTCGCAAACAGTGAAGCTGATGAATCTTCCTGATTTGTTTGCAACGTTAGTCTACCACAATTCTTTTCTCACTCTAACACTACTTTCGACATTCCACAGGAGCAACTAAAACCGCCACTCGGAAAGGGCGTAGTTAATGGTTGTAAACTGAACTGCACCTATTCAGTCAATCGCCATGTCATTCATGCACCGTACAACTGGCTTCACAATGCCAAACAATCCCGACCTTATTTTTGTTTTCCGTGATTGTTCTTACGAATTTACAGCGACTCCGTGTATTGTCGGAATTTATCCCTGTATTGTATTCTTGTCACTTGACATGGAGTAAGGACAATCACCAGCACTTTGTGCTTGAGACAGCATGCTCAGCGGTTGAGCTGTTTCCGCACACACTCACCACTCCGATCGCTTCCAGTTAGATTGATTCCGGTGTTTTGGCTAGGGCTTAATCCTGTTCGGTATCTCTGTTTTTAAGAATCATTCGGAATTGTGCTTCAAAAGAGAAATCGTTGAATTTTGCTCACCCGCCTAGAGTTTAGTATTCTGTTGTTCGTACACACCAGAGCTTACTGTGTTCTCTATTTGTTCCAGCTACCAATACGGTGCATCCGTCATTCTGGAAGGACGTGATGGCGCAAACCAACGGTGCACGGGCACAATCACCGCAATCGGAGCTCAAGATGTGGCCATTCGACGAAGTTCCGACCACGGAATTTGTCGTGTTACCGTGCAACAACTGAAACAGGGCAGATACACTCTGTGCCCCGCTAAATTTACCTAACCCGCCCTCCCGTGTACTTTAGAATTACAGTTTATCTATCCCTATGACTTGGACTAGCTTCCTTTTTCAGTGCCAGTTACGGTCCCTTCGTTGTATATATATGTAATCAAGGCTGTAACCATGTTTCCATGTGACTCCGCGTGGATGTACCAATAAATGTTCTATTACGACTGTACGCCAAATTGCATGCCAGTAGGCGGTATTTGTTGGGTATTATTTCCGAGAAAAATAAAACGAGAGTCACACTGTCTATCAGAACATCAATTAGCAGTCTTGTTTTGTGTGCGGTTTTGCGAAAAATTGTAGGATTACATTTCGGGGAACGGCAAGCTTTTTAATTTTGAAATCGTCGAAGAATAGTCGTCGTGTGCTGTTTTTTGTTCAATATGTTCGGATCAATAAAGATAATGTGACTCCGATGCGTCCCACAAAGTCAGCCTTGGAATGACAGCATTGTCAAAAATAATTTCTGGCAGGTTATTAAAAGTATCCGATAACAGGAGTGCACTTTCAAAAATACAACAAACATGGACACAGCATCAAGTTAACAGATAGACAACTGTGTCTCCTTTTCGTTACTGTCGGGCCAAATTGAACTGATTAACTATCTCTGAAGACCACACCAGGAGCAAACATGAATTCGGTTCAGACCTGGCATGAGCTGGTTGACATAGTGGTAACACACGCCTTCCGTGCGATGAGTTCGGAGTTCAAGTCCCGGACGGGACGGTGGATATGCACTACTGACGAGCTCTATCAAGAGCGAAACTCGAGTCTAGTGCTTCCGAGTGTACGGTTGACTCGAAGAGCTGAGGAATGTGCGTGAAAGTGAAGTCAGTTCTAATGAATCCCACTACACTATTCACAGATAAATGTGTTTTAAATGCGAACATTTTTGGTTAGAACCCTGTTCTACCGTTTTAGTTGTGTGAAAAATACGATACATGTTAAATATTAGTTTATAATATGAAAAGTGTCAAATCCTTCATCGACTCGAATCCCTCGTAGTCTGCAATATTTTGTGTTTTGTTTTGTATGCTGTTATTACAATCACCCGGTAGGCAACGGATTGATAGGCTAGTATGCAAACGCGTAACGATGTACACCAAAATCCCATTGTGCATTGCTTCGCAACGAGCACTGTTTCGCCACAAACGCCTCGGATGCCCAGTCCGGATGAATAGCGAAAGACAACGGACGATTGGGTATGGTCCGTTGAAAGAACGGTTCAACGAAGCTCGCGTGCATCACTGGCATTTTGGACAATGTGACTTGCGTTTTGAGCGGGACAAAATAGGACGGTCTGTGTGCCAGTACATTACGTCTGTGGACATTGGTCGTGGGAAACAGCCGGGGGTATGGGAAGTGTAAAGAGCATGAGGAAATGAGTAAGATTGTCCAATAGTGAAATCTCGTCGTGTGCAGAACGAACGAAACGTGAACTGATAGAGCTGGGAAGCACTGAACAGCTGTTTCAACCTGGTTAGGTCTCATCAGCCGTGCGAATCCATCTACCCAAATTGGGACCAAACCTGAGAACTTACAGGTAGAACCCAAGCAAACTACCCACGCGGTCACCGGGCAGCTGATCAGACCGTTTCATTTTCCCCATACACGATATAGCTCCACCCATCTTTACAAGCTCAGTGCAGGCATTGCGCATTTCAGCACTCTGCATGACGAAATTTACCCTACGATCAAACTGAATCCACCATTGCTTCGATGGAGAATAATCGAATAACTAAAAAAATCCTCATTGAATCGGGTTGATAAATTCCTTCCAGGAGGTTTTATACATTATCAAAAGTACGTCGATCGTATTTGGGTTTTGTTAGTCTTGATAAAACCAAGCCGTTGTCATCAAACACAAAACCATTGCATTATTTTTGGCTCCAATAGACAACAATGATATGATATTTTTCACTTTGTTTCATTTACCGAGGTAAAATCGAACAAGAAGCAAACTGCGGCTAACCACAGGTTGTCTAGGCACAAACAGTTAAAGGCAGGATGGTCAGTGGTTTCGGGATTTAAACACACGAGCCTCAGACCGCTTTTATCTTTTCATTTATTTCGAGAAGATGGTCTTAGTCACTGACCAAATTTGGATTTGAATAGGTACATCGGGACAGATCTGTCCGTAGTCAGTACATGTTTATTAAAGATTTTCATAATTTTGAAGCACGTTTCCCCCTCAACGAATTTCGTAATATGCTAGAGCTCAAAGTTCGGGTAGGGTTTCACGATCTATATTGAAAGGACTGAAAGTCTGAGGCACATCCCATCGTATTGTGGCTTTCTGAAAGAAATGTGGTTTGGTTAATCATCTCATCCGTCTAGATTGTGCGTATGTGCATGTGAGTTGACCATTGAACTGTGGTATTGTCCAACCTCAATCCTCTCATGCGTATGGGCCTTAAACGGGATCGTATTTCCTTACGCTGGAATCTGAAGAGACAATTCGAAATTATGAAAAACATTTGGTGCTCCCATAAAACATGGTCACATAACTGGACTTATTCCCTCTGAGGGTGACTAGTTGACACCCCCAAATCGTTGATCGGTTTCATGTTTGTGTATTTCACGCATGGCTGAATGCCGGCTTCTTGCCAAACGAATCATGTTGCAAGTATATTTGTGACAAAAAACTCAGTCCATGATTTGTTTGCACTAGGTCGCTCAAAATCCGGCCGGCCATAGTTTTGAGTACTTCCAGTCATAGCTGCTCGTCACTCAAAATCAGACCTGAAAAATATCCCAGCAGAATGTGGACAATGTGGTTCCGTTAAAGGCTGGTTGGACTATAGTTTATCTGAATTTTGTAAATTGTCCCTTTCGTTCTCCTTTTTTTCGATGGTAGTATTGCAACGATAGTTTGTTTCTGGCCGGAAGCTGTTTCATAGCTTTCTGAGGTCTAACCATGGTGAGCTAACACAATAACCTATTAATCGGTCGTAGTATTATCAAATGGATGGCTGGAGTGCGTGAGCCCATTGAATTCATTTGAGGTTTTGACAGGTTGGGGAATCGTCTCCAAGATCTCTAACTAAGAATCATCTTCGTCTGTGAAACTGTCGAATTTTTCACCCATGTCGTTCGGTTGGATAGCAATTGTAACCGAGGCCCGTATGGCATGATGTTACGATGCGAAAACAGTACACTTAAAAATAGCTCCTATGCAGTTCAAATCATGGTTTGGCAAACTGAAGTCTTATGTTGAAATTACGAAAATTTCAGTGACTTCGGTGGGATTCGAACCCACGCATTGATACGGCCTACTCTTTTGCACAGCGCCCGCCCTACCAGCTGAGCTACGAGGGCAACACTAATGTTTTCATATTCTAATCACGCATCCAATTTACAGAAGCGTATGGCATCCACTAGGTAGTATGTAAACTGATTCCATTCCTCGGCTGGCAAAGCATGCGCTGTACCAAAACGTAGGCGGAGTTTATGCCGTAGATTCGTATCCTACCGAGGCGAACGAACTTTTCACGCTTTCAACTCAGATGCTTGTAAACCTACTCCCAGTGCAAACTGGAGTCAAGCTTTTTTGTCAGGTAACATTGAAGCCGAATAGTTGACTAATCATGCACAAGGAAGTAACTTTTAAAGGAGTCTTTGGGAAAGATTTAAGTCGCCAGCAATATTTGCAGTAAATCTGAGAGAAAATATGAACAGTCGCGATTAAGATAAACTAGGTATTTCCGCGTCCTTACCCATAGTTCATTTAATCTAACCTCGCCTTGAGTTCGACAATTTTTCCACTGTTTCACGCACTGTGTTTCACCTAGTAAAACGTTTTCCCCTCTCTCAACCTTTACTGTCACACCATACTCACATACGCCCCATTCTTGCGGAGTATGAATGAAATGTAACCTCTTCAGCTTCGTTTTGGTTGTGTTCCGCTTACAGCTAATCCTCTACTTTTTGATCCAACGCTGATTTCCTCCGCTGTCGGGTTGTTGCTTCATTTTTCCTGTTGTCGGTACTCACATGGATTCTTTTCGTGGAAACTCATACATCTCCGGGGTTCGGATCCCGTTTTTCATTTCATGGGTCAGACCCACTTCGGCAGAGCATTTTATCCTTGGCCAACGATTTTCTTACACTCTTCGATTATCCTAATGTAACGACCTTGGCAACTTGCCACTCCGTTTGAGTGTAGGTCGTGTTCATAGCTCACTGGACAGTCTGGTTCATGGAGTTTGTATTTTCTTCTCTTTCAGGTTTTCAGTCAACCCTCTCAACGGAGAACCTCCTGTCTGTCGATGACGGTTCCA